AACCCATAGGCACTATGTAAAAATATAGTGAAAGTAAAAGAGATGAATTATAAAACAGGTACCAAGATAAACGTAAACAGGTTAGAAATGCTATAAAACAAAAAACAAAACAAAACAAAAAACACAAAAAAAACACACAAAAAAAACACAAAAAAAAATAATTAAAAGAGTGTTAATGTAATGAAAAACGGTGGTCCTAGCAATAACGATATAACGATAATGATTTTTGGCACACCTAAATAGACAAAAACGAAGGAATGACCAAACTTCAAGAAGGATACCAAATACCAATGGTATTACCACCGACAAATCTATTATGAGTCAAACCATCTCCAATATTGTCAGACATTTGGTAAAATTAATGTTAATATAAATGACTATAGAGATGGAGAAGTGATTGAAATAAGTAATATTTGCTACAAAACTAAAAAATTGACAGATAACTCATCCGTCACAGACGAAAAGTGTCTCAGTGATGTGAAAATCTCAGTTAAAGACGTCATTTCATCAATAAACCTATCACAAATCGACACTATCACAAATGAATTTCTGAAAAACGGAGGTAATGGTATGTATAAGTCACTGTACATTATACTTGTATCATTGAGTGTTCATCAGTGCCAGATGAATGGGACACAGGCCTCATTATTCCCATCTTTAAGACCATACGCGGTGCTGGACGCGAATTTTCTTAACATAGGATAGTTTGTTAAAATCTCATGAATTATTCATAATCATTCTTATCGAACATATTTTGCGCATGCTCTATTCTCAAGCCTGTCAGCCTCAATGGTCAGCTGCTCTGTGCTTTGTCGCGAGGGACATATTTTGAATTAAAAATAAATAAGTAAATAGATAAAATTTGATTTTGGGCGAACTGAGCAGTTAGGCCTACAGTTGATATAAATGTGGCTGGGCGGATGTATGGGGAAGGAGTGCAGACAGTGCGATCGCACCCCTTAAATTGTATTAAGTATAATATTTGTTATATTGTTAATATGGTATTGGTATGAGAGTGCAATTTCCAAGCACCTAGAATTTCATATTCTCAAAATGTTCGCACCTCAGCCCCAACCATGGTGGGTGGGGCTGAGGTGGTGGGAACTCTCACGCACCCCTACCGGCTTGAGATAAGCCACTTAGTTCAGACTAGCAGGTGGATAAACCCGGTGATTTGAGCCGGGCTTATCCCCACCTAGTCTGAACTTAGGCTAAGGGGGTAAACCCGGCTCAACTCACCGGGTTTATCCACCTGCCAGTCTGAAATAGGTGGCTTATCTCAAGCCGGGCTGTGTTCCTATAGTGAATAGTATTTTTTTGAAAGCATTAAATCTAACCTAAAGTATAATAATTTTTCGCTAGTGTAATAAATAAATAAATAAATAAACGAACGAACGCACGGACGAACGAACGGACGAAAGAACGAATAACATAAAAGCAAATGAGTTAAATTAAGACCATTTACAAAGACTTATTAACAACTAGGTCTACAGTACGGAGACGGTGAATAACTATTGTAATTTGTATTGTGTTAGAAGAACTGTTTGTAATGCTATTTTGATACATTCGTCAAAGAAATACTGTAAACATTTCTTAAAGCTTCGAGAAAAAATACAGTCACTGACTTTATGGTCGGTCCAGGCAAGTAAAACTGACTTATAAAGCAATTATAGTCAAGCAAATTCGTACACTATAGGCAAAAGAAGTCTCAGGAATTATTATTTTCTTTAAAAATTGCCTTCAGCCATGCGGGCTTCGGGCAATTTTTTTCAGGAAATAATGGCTCCTTCGGCTAATATTTCCTATAGTGTCCTCAAACCCTCACTACAATTGCTTAAAATAAACTTGTACGGATTTCTTTGTTTGTGAATCTAAGGCAGGCTGCAGCAAATTGACAGCGTGTTTGATATTACGAACACAGATGGCATTAAATACGTCCAATATTTCATAATATAATTTGACATTTAAGTCATGGTATAATTAATAAACTTTTGTTTGTAATTCTGTTGATATTAGGTAATAAATATTATACACAATGTGTTTATAGGTATCTGCATTAAAATAGTCGATATGTTAAGTACGATATTCTTGAACGTTAGGCAATGTGAGTTACAGTAGAACCCTTTCTTTTGGACACCCCTATTCAGGGGACACCCCTATTAAGCGGACACATTTCTGTGAAACGAGGGGAAATATATCTTTTAACGCTACAGGAAACACCCCTATTAAGGGGACACACTACAGTATTCACAAAACAAGAAAAAGAAAATCATTCAAATAAACTTAACCTCAAACCAGAATATTTTCCATCCTTAAACTGGGCATTGGATGCCAAGTGCATGTGTTACTTCGTATAAATAAAATCTTGTCAATTTTGACCATTAACCATGGCAAAAGACACTTGCACAGCGACAGTTACGAACCCCCACCTCAAGGTTGGGAATCCAAGCCACAACCGATGCGCCATCCACTTCTGACGAAAGATTATAACAAATGATTCAGAACTATTGGTTTGACCATGAATTTTTTTTCGCAGTTGTTTTCAAATGTACTGAGTATTCGGTATATTTCCACGTCAGGTAGGGCAAAATTACACCTGTACATGTTTCTCCTGACGCAAATCCAGTTATTGTCTATTCCATCACGACAAAACAATTACTATCAACACTGCAGTACCCGCTGCTTACTTGGACTCGAATTCAACCCTGGCCATCAGGCGCAAGCTCGGTGGTCTAGAGGTATGATGCCAGGCTAGTGATCTGGAGATCGTGGGTTCGAGTCCCACCCGAGAACAACTTGGGATTTTTTTTTCGCAGTTGTTTTCAAATGTACTGAGTATTCGGTACATTTCCACGTCAGGTAGGGCAAAATTACACCTATACATGTTTCTCCTGACGCAAATCCAGTTATTGTCTATACCATCACGACAACAATAACAATTACTTGAATCGATAGCATGAATCGTGTACATATTTTGAGTATAAGTAATTAAGAAACGAATATCATATGTATGAAATACTTCAGTGGAGGAAACCAATTTTCAACCTATTCTTATATAAATTATATATATGTATACATAATTAAATATATATGGCCTATATATAAATTATGATATAATAGATAAAATCCAAACTAGCTTTATATATAATAATAATAAGAAACGATTACCATACTTTACTGGAGAAGAACTTCAATCTATCGAACGTTTTGTTTGGAGCAATGGTTTTATTATATTTTTATGATGTTTACAATTCTTAATGTGACTTCAATTTTTTTTTTAAATAATTATTTTTTAAGTAGTTTTATATAATGTGTAGGCCTATATATAAAATGAAAAAGAGGGCCGATTTAACCTGCCGGGCCGGTATTGTATTATTAATTGTGAATGCGTCATCGGCGTTCCATACATATACACGCATTGGCGGCCGTTCTGGAGGGCGGCCGCTGTAGGTAGCGGCCGATATGGGCCTACTCCAACGTAATAACGCCAGCCAGTTTGCTACTGAATTTAAGTTATTATAGTAGCAGTTTTATGAAACACAAAACATAGTTTCTGAGAGTATTCATATAGTACTTTACATTTTGTCAATTCTTAACATATAAAAACATACAATTTTTTTTTCTCTTCTAGTTTACTGAATTATTTTATATTCTTTAGTACAGTGATGAAACAATCCCTATCTATTGACTGCATGTCGACTATCTAGAAAAATATTCCTCAAGTCAATGATACAGTAGCTACAGTAGTGTGTCCTAGTAATTTATACAGTATATTTTTTTTTTTTTGGAAATATATATATTTTTTAATTAAAATTCAGTATACAATAGAATGCCATGGAAACCAGTAACCACATAGTCCTCTTGACTACAGTAGTGGCTAAATAATTAGCCACACCTTAACTGAACTTAATCTGTATTTGCTGTATGTCTATACCGTAGATTGAGTTTAATACACACTCAATGCAAAACCGTAAAATATTTAGAATTGAAAAAAAAGATAAAATTATGTAGGTAAATTTTTTTAATTTGCTTTACTCTACAAAACTGAAAAAAATAATAAAATTCTATAGGTCAGTATTTTTTAATAACTAATTGAAATTACATAATAAAATATATAAATATCACAAGTTTTAATACTTTGTTTATTACTGTATTATATAAAAATACACCATTATATCATATCAAAATTTAATTTAATAAATAAATAACATTTGAATTTTAAATCATTATTGATTATATTATATTTCATTATATTATTGATGAGTTTGAATGTTAATTTTGACTTTTCTTACTGGACTTCTTTGGTCTTGTGAAAGAATGCAGTGATTGAATTGTGACTAAATCTTGCCTTTTCTCTACAGAAAATAGTGTATGCAAGAAGTAAAAAGTGGAGCAAATCCAAGTTTATACATGACTAACAGAACAAGTTTAAGGTAAAGTTCACTGATTGCAAGAATTGTTAAATATCAGACAAATATTAGTACTTATTTATACAGTAATTACATAAATTATTCTAAAATTGGTCACTTGATTAACTAATAATGCCTGCCTGTCGTCTGCTGAATGTATTAAAGAGCAGTTTTATGAAACACAAAATAACATAAAAATAATTTCCGAGAGTATTATTACTTTACAGTTTGTCAATTCTTCACAGATAAAGACATACAACTTTATAATTTCAATTTCCGATTTATTTCAATTTCTTTATTTCAAAATCACACTCGCAGTGAAATACTGAATTGCAGCAATTTTTACATAAGTTAAAAGATTAAAACACTAGTCATAAAAGCAACACATACAAAAGTGAACAATTCATTAAAAAGGGCATAAAAACAAACAAGTACAATACAGCAATAAAAATTATATTATATTATATTATATTATATTGGAAAAAATTAACAAACAGGAAATTTAACCCGAAATTCACAACATTAAAAAAAAAAGGACTAAGGTGGTTATATTGAGTTATGTTTTATTTATTATCACATTATGTAGAAATACCAAGTGTAGGTACAATAGACTACATCTTATGTTAAAACCAATAAATCTAAAATTTAAAATATATGTAGATAAGTATTTAATTGTTATAATATTGTTGTAGTTTTTCCCTATCTAACGTGGAAGTGCACTGAATACTCAGTACGTGTGAAAACAATTGCAAAAAAATCGCAAGTTGTCCTCGGGTGGGACTCGAACCAATGATCTCCAGATCACTAGCCAGTGGTTTTTATTCAACTCCTCATTTTGTCCATATCCCACACATGAAGTTTGTTATTTGCTTCTAGGTATATGAACTATGCAGGGATATTTTAATGTAACAATGTTATAATCTTTTTACATTATTGCTGCCATTTTTTGCACCTGTTTTTATTCATTTTATGTCTTTTAAACTGTTTTTTTTTTCTGTCATGATAAACAGTACAATTAAATTTTTGTGTTTGCAATACACAATTTCCCAATTGAAATAAGTTTTACTTTTTTTGGCTTTTCCTTGCAATTAGGGTCAACTATCTTTTCTTTTTTTTTGTGGTTATGATGTATTTATTAAATGATTCTCTTTACAAATAAATTCAATAAATCAATCAATCAAGCATATGTCAATTTATTTTAATTTTCTTTGATCTCAACAAACACAGAAATACAAAACCGAAAAACATTTAGGATTGTTAAAAAAAATATGATTATTTAAATAAAACATTTAAATTTTATTTAGAAAACTGGAAAAATAATAAAATAATGGTTTATTCAATAGATTTTTATTTAAAAATACATATCAAATCAAATTATTTACAATTAAATTTAATGGAAAATAACTCTTGAATCTCATTGAATGTTGATTATATTATATTTAATTATATTATTGATGAGTTTGGGCTCAGGGACAATGTTCATTTGTCTTGTGAAAAAATGCAGTAATTGATTTGTGACTAAATCTCACTTTAACTCTACAGAAAACAGTGTGTGCAAGCAGTGAAATTGGTAGCAAATCGACGTTTTATGGCTAACAGAACATGTTTAAGGTAAATTCACTTTGCAAAAATTATTAACAATTTCAGAATTTCAGACTAATATACTAGTACTCTATCTGGATCAATACTGGCAAATGAGAATGGTCCAGCATATTACAAAATTCATGGTCCTACATAATGCATGTAATCGTAAATGAGTAGAAAAAAAAATCCCCCAGAAATAATTCTTTATATCTCAGCACTTGTAATGCTCAAACCTACAGTACTGTATTATGAAATAGAGAAGATTATTTTTCCCTTGTCATACAATTCACAGAATACCTCCACTTCCTAGAAGTATAGTGCAGCTCAGTACTACAGTAATAGAGCCATATAATGTCATGGTTCTAGAACAATAAAAAGATTTTTTTTTCATTACCAATTCTCATTGAACAGTCAATGACTTACTAAAATGAAATTGACCTACTGTAAGTTTTGCCTATCATTTATATAAGTTTTTTTTTTTAAATGGATATGCTTTGAGAAATAAATTATGTATCTTCTTTTTTTTAAATGTTAAAATAAGGTTTTAATCTGTTGTTATTGTAATTGTCTATTTCTTTGATTGAATGAATGAAGTATTAATTGAACTACTAAACAAATAATAATTTAATTTTTTTTTAATGCAACAAGTAATTAATCACTTGATATATCCGCAAACTACTATTTCAGTTTTGTTATGCCTCCATAATGTTTACATATTTTCATTCTTTCAGCTGAAGGAATTTTGAATCTAAACCTTATCATGTGTGATGGATGTGATGTTTGATCTAAAGATCCTTGAATTTAAATTACAAACTTATTGTATGATAAAACGTTCCACTATTTTTTTTAATGAAAGTAGGTAGAAGGGATAGCCATGTTAGCCTACTGTAGATGATTAACAGTGCAGTAAGTAAATAACACACGGCACTTTCTAGAGAAACACATTTATTACACAAGCTTTCATCCAAACATTGGCAATAAATTTGTTAGTCTGAAAAGTGTTATTTGTCATTTAGGCCTATTTATTAGGAAGTGCAGTAAAACCGTAGAGTCTGTAATTTAACTGCTATGCAAAGAGAAGTATATATTTTAATTAATAACTTCTAAGTCTAAAGAAATTAGTATAGAAAAATTTTCATAGAATATATTGTTATTCATTATTTGGAATGACCAGTAGTGTTTTTTTAAGGGAAATCGAAGCAATGTTAAATTTTTGATGATGGGTTATTGAAGAAAGGAAAAGCAATTTTTAGTACTAGGTCTAGTGTAAGGGAGATATGTCATTCACAGAACAAAAAACTCTTTTGATTTCATATTGATTGAGACAAGATAAGATTTTAATGTTATATTGTATGTAGTGACAGTGAAATGTTCATTGAGTGTAAAGTAATGTTTGAATCTTATTGTCAGACCTAAATATGCAATAATTTAACTGTATGACCATAAGACTGATAAATGTGAATATATGTCATTTGTTTTAAAGTGCTGTTCCTGTGTTTATTAAGTATTTCTTTGCATAGGATCTGTCAATTAGTGAATTCTTTTTCAATCGATATTGCATTTAATTTTCCTCTGTCATTTTAAAATAAGCTGTTAAATTTTCAACTTTTTTTGTTTTGTATTTTTTCATTGTCACCAATTGTCTGCCTAACACATAGAGATAAGAATATCCAAATAATTGGAATTTATTTTTTTTAAATTATGATGTAAATGAGGGGCATTGACACTTCCGTGAGTATAGTAGCAAATTTAACTATTAAACATATCAGATACTAAATATAGAGTATTTAGGTTTCTTCTATGCAATAATCATCTCTTATAAACTTATAACTATTAAGTATTTGTCAGCAAATTTACATTTTCTGCCTTTGCACCATTGATATTTTCTGTCATCTGTAGTATCAAATAAAGTGCTCAATGTTTAGATTTATTTTTAGGAACCAGTAATTAATCGCTGTGATGTTCCATTGAAAATATAACTCAATTGTATTTTTAATTCACTTTACCTACTTCATGTGTATTTTACACAAAATATGTACTATAGTACATATCTTGTGCAAAATACAGAAGTAACGACAGGGACGTATCTGGAGTGGGGTGGGGGGAGCCGTGGGAGCCGGGGCTCCCCTCTTTTGTACACAGTGTTAAAATTCTAAAGCTTATTCTTGAGCCAATACAAATTCTTTCCTGGGATCACTCAAAGTGAATACTTCTATAACATGTAAATATGCATCAGTACACATTATATTATAT